CAAAATTCTGTCTGAAATCAGTTAGCTGACAAAACTCAGTCCTAACCCAACAGCATGTATGTGCATGTGGCAGTGTGGGTAGCCAATCTGTATGTAAGTCACAATATTATAGTCACAAAGGCCATTTAAAGGCCACTAAAATAAAACTCAGACAGTCAGTGTGTCTCTGTAGGTGGAGCTTCTGAGGCTGTGATGTGCTCTGGTTCAGCTCTGGTTCAGCTCTGGTTCAGCAGTGCCGTAAACTCCCAGCAGCAGACGCTGTGTAACCTGTCCCAAACTTCAGAAAACTTCTTGACCTTGTCGTCCTCTAATAAGTAAGACTTTTAAGGAGAAGACTATTTATTGTTTTGTTCTACAGAGTTGAGCTGTGAGGTCAGAGCATAGTCCAATTACCCATGATGCATCTCCTCACATCGGTGAGGAGGCTCATATCGGTGAATCTTGCTCGACAAATATTTGAGAAATGGTGTCTGAAGCCGAGCAAACCTTGACGGGAATAATCAGGCTCTGACCAGTTCAGACAAATATTTCATGCTGCAGTTCCGCTCCTGTCCCGCCGTCCTGCTCTCCATCGTCCGGGTGACGGTGCGGTACAGCGGCGTTATCTTCTGCTGGTCCTGACCTTTGACCGTAGCCTTGTTTAATCAGAAATGTGAAACCTCTGCGCTGAAGGTTCTCGCTGTGTCTCTGCGTGTTTCCGGCTCTTTCTAACGATGATCTCCCTCTGCTGCTGTCTTAAAGGGGAATTCCACCAATTTTTCAAAATTTCCTTGTAGTTGAGTGTTTGAGATGTAAACAGAGAGATTCAGAGTGGTTTGGTGTGAAATGGTTCAGATCTCTTTACAGTGGTGGTGATAGGAACAAGGGGTCGCCATGACTACAACACAAATATAGACATTTTATTTACTATCCAATGGAATGTTGATGATGGAAAATACTGGAAAATCTAAAATAATAATAAGTTTTGTTTGGGGACTATTTTGCCTCACAGCGCCCTGCATATTTTGTATCCCTCCACCATGAATGGAGTTTAAGAACAAAAACTTCTTAAAACTATCATAAAACAGTGTCTCAGTCATCAGGCAGTGAATTCATAACCATTTCATGTAGTAACTTTCTGTGAGGGAGCTTTTAGAGGTGGACGCCTGGTTCCTCTCACTACCACTGTGAACAATTCAGACTCAGTCAGTTTATCTAGAACAGAGCGTTTCACACCAAACCACTCTGAAGGACTCTGCCATGTTAACTATTATGCAATAATTTTGAAAAATTGCTTGGGTTTCCCTGTAACGTTCTACTGTTTTACTGTATGAATCTGACTGCCTGTATGATACAGACCTAGTCTAGTCATCTATTCAGCTAGAGTCTGCTTATCCTTCTTAATCTCTCTCTCTCTCTCTCTCTCTCTCTCTCTCTCTCTCTCTCTCCTTCTTTCTGTCTCTGTTTTTACGCTGTTTTTCTCTTTCTCTCTTACGATTTACAGACAGGTTTATTTACTTATTCATTCACAGTTCTGACACCTGCTGACACTCCTGACTGTAACATGACTGAATCCCCAGCTCTGACAGCTCTGACATTCAACCCTCACCCGTCGCTGCATCACAGAGTCCTGTATTCATACAGGAGCATCTCCAGCACAGAGAACGACAGAACGACAGAACGACAGGAGAGAGGGGGGGGGGAGATACAGAGGAGGAAAGGATGAAAGGACAAACGATAGGGAAAGAAAGAAAGAAAAAGAGAGATAGTGAGACAGCAACATAGACAGAGGGGGAGAGAGAAAGAGAGTGTGAAAGAAAGATGAACAGAGAGAGGGATACAGAGTTAGAGAGAAAGAAAGATAGATGAAGAGGGAGACAGAGAGGTAAAGAGAGTGAGAAAGAGAGAAGGAAGAGAGAACGATGAACACAGAGTGAGGTAGAGAGAGAGACATGAACAGAGAGAGAGCAAGAGATGAACAGAATGAGAGAGATGAACACACAGAGCGAGAGTGAGAGAGAGATGAACAGAGAGAGAAAGAGAGATGTGTGAGAGAGGGAGCGACATGAGAGGGAGGGAGCGACATGAACAGAGAGAGAAAGAGAGATGAACAGAGAGAGAGAGATGAACAGAGAGAGAGAGAGAGAGAGATGAACGGAGAGAAAGAAGGAGGGAGAGAGAAATATCAACAGAGAGAGAGAGAGAAGTAAATAGAGAATGAGGGAGGTAGAGAGAGAGAGATGAACAGAGAGAGAAGTAAATAGAGAATGAGGGAGGTAAAGAGAGAGAGATGAACAGAGAGAGAAATAAATAGAGAATGAGGGAGGTAAAGAGAGAGAGATGAACAGAGAGAGAGAAGTAAATAGAGAATGAGGGAGGTAAAGAGAGAGAGATGAACAGAGAGAGAGAAGTAAATAGAGAATGAGGGAGGTAAAGAGAGAGAGAGAGAGATGAACAGAGAGAGAGAAGTAAATAGAGAATGAGGGAGGTAAAGAGAGAGAGAGAGAGATGAACAGAGAGAGAGAAGTAAATAGAGAATGAGGGAGGTAAAGAGTGAGAGAGAGAGAGAGAGAGAGAAGTAAATAGAGAATGAGGGAGGTAAAGAGTGAGAGAGAGAGAGAGAGAGAGAGAGAAGTAAATAGAGAATGAGGGAGGTAGAGAGAGAGAGATGAACAGAGAGAGAAGTAAATAGAGAATGAGGGAGGTAGAGAGAGAGATATGAACAGAGAGAGAGAAGTAAACAGAGAATGAGGGAGGTAGAGAGAGAGAGATGAACAGAGAGAGAGAGAAGTAAATAGAGAATGAGGGAGGTAAAGAGAGAGAGAGATGAACAGAGTGAGAGAAGTAAATAGAGAATGAGGGAGGTAAAGAGAGAGAGAGAGAGATGAACAGAAAGAGAGAAGTAAATAGAGAATGAGAGAGGTAAAGAGAGAGAGAGATGAACAGAGAGAGAAGTAAATAGAGAATAAGGGAGGTAAAGAGAGAGAGAGAGAGATGAACAGAGAGAGAGAAGTAAATAGAGAATGAGGGAGGTAAAGAGAGAGAGAGATGAACAGAGAGAGAGAAGTAAATAGAGAATGAGGGAGGTAAAGAGAGAGAGAGATGAACAGAGGGAGGTAACGAGAGGAGAGGCTCGACTTTTTAAATCTAATAGTGTCATAATCTTTAGATTCATGTTTATATTCAGTGTGTCTTCATTGGCGTCAGTGTAACGTCCAGCATTGAAAGAGTGACCACAACAATAATAACAACACAAACAAATAATAATAATAATAATAATAATAATAATACGTATGAAATAATGACAATAACCACAGCTACATTGTTGACTATGTAAAAAGCCTTTTTCATTTAGCCTTTAGTTTGTTACTATAGCAGCTTTAACATTAGCTTCTTCTGTAAAGCTCTGCACAGATTTTATTCTCACTGATCTGAAAAACAAAAAGCTTAAACATGCTAACAGGCTAACAGAGAGTGTGAGCTAGAAATAGCCAATCAGCATGATGTCATTTGCATAATGCTAATTCATCATCACTCTACACAAACGTTTACGTTTTTATTCTGAATATTAGTGCTGATTCAGTGTAAGAGCCATAAAGCTGAGTTAGCTGGGTTTATTTCATTTCCAGTCAAAACAGCCGTTAAGTAGAAGCTCCTCATTTTAGGAGATGTTTGTGAGGAAGTTAGATATCAGATTATTCACCTGCACAATGGACAACTTGTACTTGTACACAGTTTTGACTGGAAAATCTCCCGACCCAAGTGAGTGGAATCAGGCAGGTAGATGAAGCAAAGCAATGTGCGTACATGGGTGTCCAGGACTGTGCTGAGGACTCAGTGGTCACAGCAGGGCTTCTCAACCTTTTTCACCCCAAGGCCCACCTGTTTATAACTATAAAGCATAGCCGCCCACAGAAAACCTAAAATCAACTTTTTTTTAATAGTTTTCTTTTTTTTTCTTAATTGCTCACCATGAAAACCTGTAAATTAGGGACTGAAAAAGATCAGGTCGTCCATTTAACTACAATCACAGAAACCAAAATTTGCAGTTATGTTGAAAAACGTAACATCTTCTAAGCCGCTTATCCTTCTGGGTTGCGGGGGGAGCTGGAGCCTATCCCAGCAGGTCACCAGTCCATCGCAGGGCAGACAGACAGACACATACATTCACACACACACACACTCACACCTAGGGGCGGTTTAGCATGTCCAGTTGGCCTGACTGCACGTCTTTGGACGGTGGGAGGAAACCGGAGAACCCGGAGGAAACCCACACAGACACTTCTTTGCCATTAGTTTATCAAGCTGAGTCTAACCACTCAGGTCGCTGATGTTCGGCCAGAAATCAAACACAGATCTTCAGTATAATTTTATGGCTCGTTTGTCGTTTTTATCAGCTGCAGCTGGAGCTGCAGGAACGATATGAGAGCAATAAGTCAGACGTTAAAACAGGCAGATTATACTGACGGTACAGCGCCGACCTGCTGATAGAAGAAGAGGAAAGCCTGATGATTCCCTCGTTTCATCGTACGATGCGTCCCACCAGCAGTGAACTGAACAGGGTTCGGTTGGAAGCTGACCGAGACCCGCGGGTTTCGTATGTTTGTTTCAGACCCAAATACGGGTGGAGTGTTCACACATGTCAAACTACAGAAAACGTTTGATAGGTCCACACCGAACACAGCAGGAGAAACACCCTGAAGAACCTATCAGTCTCTGGCTGACTGCGCTGCACGCTGGCGGCTGCATCGTCTCAGACTGATGATGTCTAATTAGCCTGCGACTGCGGCATTTTTGTTTATACGTCTCTACCGGCCCACTGTGAACTACTGCCTCCCCCTGAGTTCAGGCCTGCGGACCACTAGAGAGTCCTTCACGGCCCACTGGTGGTCTGCAGCCCACAGGTTGAGAAACTCTGGTCTACAGGATATGAAACAGGTGGAAATCATTTCTGATACGGCAGAAACGAAGCAGTAATGTGGGTAGAAATTCATACACTTCTCTGATGTCTCCCACCACAGCTCCTTCCTACGGACCCCCCACCAAAGCCGGACCCCATCACCTCTGAGACTGTGGTCTTCTGGGGTCTCCGGTTATGGCAGGTCGTTGGAATCTTCTCCATGTTCATCCTGGCGATTAGTAAGTTCTTGATTTTTGATGTTTCGGAAATGTTTATGGGAAGATAGAGTGAAAACCAAATGTACAGTTTTACCCTCTTAGGCCAAAACTAGTGAACGATCAACCGCTTCTGTAGACATACACTGCTACAAAGCTAACATAGCTAACAACTAAAGAAAGCTCATATCCCACCAATTAGCATGGTGCTAACTGCATAGCTAACAGGAGCTATGAGGCTACGACAGGTAGCAGGTAATGGAAGGTTATTAGAACCAATTAGCATGGTGCTAACTGCATAGCTAACAGTAGCTATGACGCTACAACAGGTAGCAAGTAACAGAAGCTTATTAGAACCGATTAGCACGGTGCTAACTGCATATCTAACAGGAGCTATGAGGCTACAACAGGTAGCAAGTAACAGAAGCTTATTAGAACCGATTAGCACGGTGCTAACTGCATAGCTAAGAGGAGCTATGAGGCTACAATAGGTAGCAAGTAACGGAAGGTTATTAGAATCGATTAGCATGGTGCTAACTGCAAACCTAACAGTAGCTATGAGGCTACAATAGGTAGCAAGTAATTATTGGCACTGATTAGCATGGTGCTAACTGCATAGCCATCAGGAGCTATGACGCTACAATAGGTATCAAGTAACAGAAGCTTCTTATCATGGTAAATTATCTGCGTTTTTTGTCTGTTTCGTTAAACTTTGGGGGATATTAATTTATAAAAGTTGGTGTTCATATTGCTTTAGAATCATCAGAACTTCAGAAAAATCATAAGTTGACAGCCTGAATACTGACTACTTAAAGTTAAAACATAGTTTTTACACTGTGAACTGCAGCTGAGAGTCAAACAGGTTTCAAGTGAATTACGCAATGCTGAAAAGTACTTTAGTGTAGAGAAAACGAGTCTCTGTGCTGTACTGTGGTCTGACGAGTCTGTGTGCTGTACTGTGGTCTGATGAGTCTGTGTGCTGTACTGTGGTCTGATGAGTCTGTGTGCTGTACTGTGGTCTGATGAGTCTGTGTGCTGTACTGTGGTCTGATGAGTCTCTGTGCTGTACTGTGGTCTGATGAGTCTGTGTGCTGTACTGTGGTCTGACGAGTCTGTGTGCTGTACTGTGGTCTGATGAGTCTCTGTGCTGTACTGTGGTCTGACGAGTCTGTGTGCTGTACTGTGGTCTGACGAGTCTGTGTGCTGTACTGTGGTCTGATGAGTCTCTGTGCTGTACTGTGGTCTGATGAGTCTGTGTGCTGTACTGTGGTCTGACGAGTCTCTGTGCTGTACTGTGGTCTGACGAGTCTGTGTGCTGTACTGTGGTCTGATTAGTCTGTGTGCTGTGATGTGGTCTGAGTCTGTGTGCTGTACTGTGGTCTGATGAGTCTCTGTGCTGTACTGTGGTCTGATGAGTCTGTGTGCTGTACTGTGGTCTGATGAGTCTGTGTCCTGTAATGTGGTCTGACGAGTCTATGTGCTGTACTGTGGTCTGATGAGTCTGTGTCCTGTACTGTGGTCTGATGAGTCTGTGTCCTGTACTGTGGTCTGACGAGTCTGTGTGCTGTACTGTGGTCTGATGAGTCTGTGTCCTGTACTGTGGTCTGACGAGTCTCTGTGCTGTACTGTGGTCTGATGAGTCTGTGTGCTGTACTGTGGTCTGACGAGTCTGTGTGCTGTACTGTGGTCTGATGAGTCTGTGTGCTGTACTGTGGTCTGACGAGTCTATGTGCTGTGATGTGGTCTGAGTCTGTGTGCTGTACTGTGGTCTGACGAGTCTGTGTGCTGTACTGTGGTCTGACGAGTCTGTGTGCTGTACTGTGGTCTGACGAGTCTGTGTGCTGTACTGTGGTCTGACGAGTCTGTGTGCTGTACTGTGGTCTGATGAGTCTGTGTGCTGTACTGTGGTCTGATGAGTCTGTGCTGTACTGTGGTCTAATGAGTCTCTGTGCTGTACTGTGGTCTGATGAGTCTGTGTGCTGTACTGTGGTCTGATGAGTCTGTGTGCTGTACTGTGGTCTGATGAGTCTCTGTGTTGTACTGTGGTCTGATGAGTCTCTGTGCTGTACTGTGGTCTGATGAGTCTCTGTGCTGTACTGTGGTCTGATGAGTCTGTGTGCTGTACTGTGGTCTGATGAGTCTGTGTGCTGTACTGTGGTCTGATGAGTCTCTGTGCTGTACTGTGGTCTGATGAGTCTGTGTGCTGTACTGTGGTCTGATGGGAGTGATGAGTCCTTTCCTCTGTCTTCCTTTCACAGTCATAACGCTCTGCTGCATCTTTAAATGCCGAATTCCTCGGACGAAGAAGGAGATCGAGGCCCGGCACAATCAGAGACAGGCGGCTAAAACCTACGCTAACACGCTGGAGACGGTTCCTCCTCTCAACGAGCTCACGGAGGTCCCAGGAGGTAAAAACACTCGCTCTGCCCTTTGGTCTCTCAGAGAACTGATCTGATCTGCTTTATCCTTCTGTCTGATTCGGGCCTCCACTCTGTTTCAGCCGTGGTGTTCGCTGATGATGAATCAGGACACTGACGTTTCCTGTGGAATCATTTAATTTAACGGTGCACAGCATTTAAAAATGCTAACATGCTAATAATGAATGAAGTCTCATTAAGGCTAACGAGGCCAAATTTAAATGTGTATATCATTTAAAAATGCTAACATGCTAATAATGAATGAAATGTAACTGAGGCTAACAGGTACCAATGTATAAGTGTGCATCATTTAAAAACGCTAACATGCTAATAATGAATGAAGTCTAATTGAGGCTAACATGGTCAAATTTAAAGGTATACATAATTTAAAAATGCTAATATGCTAACAATGATCGAAGTCTAATTGAAGCTAATGAGGTTGAATTTAAAGGTGTACATAATTAAAAAATCCTAGCATGCTAATAATGATTGAAGTCTAATTGAAGCTAATGAGGTTGAATTTAAAGGTGTACATAATTTAAAAATGCTAATTATGCTAATAATGAATGAGGTCTAGTAGAGGCTAACAGGGACAAATTTCAATGTGTATATTGTTTAAAAATGCTAATTATGCTAATAATGAATGAAATATAGTTGAGGCTAATGGGGTCACATGTAAGGTGTACAGTACCCAAAAATGACAACACTAGTAATGACTGAAATTTGACCAATAGGTCTGAATTTAAAGATGTGTTTAAATGAAAAATGCTAACATGCTAATAATGAATGAAATCTAATAGAGACTAATGGGGTCAAATTTGAAGTTGTGCTTTGCCCCAGTAATGCAGGAGGGAGTTTAAAGTTGGGGGTGCTGAAATATTAAGCAGTATGAAGTTGACGAACACCATGACGTCATGGAAAATAATTTTTGTTATTTTAATTTTATGGATAATTTGCATTAAATAGAACATGCCATAATGTTACATTATGCATGGGCTCCCTATCCCAGTCCTGGCGACCTGACACCAGCATAATTTTGTGCTTTGTCTCATCAAACTCACCTGATTCCACTCGTTAGGGAATTAACAAGAGCCTCGTTGGCTGGGTGAAGTGGGAAGATTAGAGAAAACATAAAAGTGTGCAAATCAAAGGGTCGCCAAAGGGTATCAAAGGGTCACCAGCACTGAGACTGGGAACTGAAACCGAACTAACAGCAGAACTGAGATATCAAGCTGAGAGGTGACCATTTACTTTGTTTATATGTAACCGAGGGTGTCCGGAGCCCACCAGCAGGCCCACGGTTTTAGTACACACTTCTATAATCTAAGAATAGCTCAGTCAGTTTGCACTGACGTCCCTGTAGTTACTGAATAATCAGCTTCAGTATGTAATAAACCTGATATTTTAAGGGGTTAATATACACGTCGAAATTCAACACATGGAGAATTAAAAAAAAATATTTGGGGCTCAAAACTGGCTCACAACTCCGCATACACTTTTACTCTGGACTCCGCTCGTGTTTCAGAGACACGCCCCTAAAGTTGGAGAAAAAGGAGTGATTTGGTTCGCTGTGATAAAATGCAGAGTAAACTAAAACCCAATGTGTCAAACACAAGGCCTGTGGGCCAGATCAGTCCTGTGACACCGTCCTATTCGGCCCATGAAATCATTTAATTCTCTATTATTATTATTATTATTAGCCCGTTTCACCCTGAGATGCACTACAGTCCCCAGCATGCACTGCAACATAGTGTCCGTTCTGATCCCCAACAACAATCTCTGGGTCGGCGGTTACACACAAAAAAAGATACCTGGTGTCTCGTTCATGCAAATGAGCAGTTTTAAAAAAGCTAACTAAACCATTTTTATTTAGAAATAATTTTGAATAACTTTCAATGCCCTTTTTGCTGCTGCAGCTTTGGCATATTTTGAATAAACAATGTCCCGGTCAGGTGATGGCAAAATATTAAGTAAAAATGAAACAAAACACCACTGGCCTGCTTATTTGAGTTTAACACACACACACACACACACACACACACACACACACACACACACACAATCTAAACCGCTTATCCCCCTGGGTCGCGGGGGGAGCTGGAGCCTATCCCAGCTGTCATTGGACAGTTTAACATATTTTACAGCCACTTTATAGTTTATTTTTTCCCAATATATTAAATTCAGTAAACAGTAAATATGCATTAAATGGGCAGACGTGTGTCTCTGTAGAGGACCTGTTAACGAACTAACTTTCACTTAGAAAACCAACACAAACATGGAATTTGACCAGGGGCGCACAAACTTTTGCACAAAAGACAGAACGATACAAACTCCACCCTAAAAGAAGCCCTGGGGTCTGTTTCAGTGTTCTTTGGTTTTTATCATTCATTTGTTTTTAGGAGGTAAACAGTCCTGAAATATGGGACGGCTGCAGCCCCCCCAACCCCCCCACTCCTGTATCCCCCCGGCTCTCAGCTGAGCTCTTCCTCTCTGCTCTCTCTCCTCCTGACTCCTCTGCTCTCCGTTTCTTCTCTCTCTCCTCCTCTGTAAGCTCCAGCTGACTCCTCCTCAGCGGTGAGGACCGTCTCGGAGCAGGTCCAGAGCCGAGAGGCCGGTCAGCTGGAGGCCGTCCGCGAGGAAGACGAGCTGACCAATCACCTCGGCCAGCCCCAGAGCGGATAACTGATCTTCATCTCTTCCTTCTTCACATGTGTTTCTCTTGCTCACTTTTCTCTCTCTCTCTCTCTGTCTCTCTCTCTCTCTCTCTCTCTCTATATATATATATATATATATATATATATATATATATACACACTGATCAGCCATAACATTAAAACGACTTACACTCGTTGTCCATTCTATCAGCTCCACTTACTATATAGGTGTTACAGACTGTAGTCCATCTGTTTCTCTGCATACTTTGTTAGCCCCCTTTTACCCTGTTCTTCAGTGGTCAGGACCCCCATGGACCCCCACAAAGCAGGTACTATTTGGGTGGTGGGTCATTCTCAGCACTGCGGTAACACTGACGTGGTGGAGGTGTGTTAGTGTGTGCTGAGCTGGTCTGAGTGGATCAGACACAGCAGTGCTGCTGTGTCTGAAGAACAGGGTAAAAGGGGGCTAACAAAGTATCAGAGAAACAGATGGACTACAGTCTGTAACTGTAGAACTACAAAGTGCACCTATATAGTAAGTGGAGCTGATAAAATGGACAATGAGCGTAGAAACAAGGAGGTGGTCAGAATGTTATGCATGTATATATATATATATACATATATATATATAATCTGCATTCAGAGTTCACTGCTGTATTTTCTTCAGATAAGAGCCTGTAGGCTAGTCTGAGCCCGTCCTCCTGTACACCTTTGCTGCTGTGGACCTACAGCTGGTCTCTTCCCTCTGTTGTCCTGTGAGGTGGCTGTACAGTTGTAGTTGTATATTTAGAGAAGAGTTTATTGTGCAGTGTTTGGATAGGTTGCCTGTATTCACTGTGTATGTCGTCTATCTGCTGCTGCTCTGTGTTAAATGTAGCGCCGCGTCCTGGAGAAACTACATCTCGTTCCTCTGTCAACACATCTGTGATGAGGAGACATGACAACAAAGCTGAGTTTGACTTTGACTTTACTGCAGTGAAACAACGGCTGCAGTAAAAGTATAAAACTTGAGTAGAAACACAACAGTAGCAGCTCAAACAAAGGACTTCAGTACTGAGTAACTCACAGAACTGCAGTGGATCTCAACGTCAGGAGCTGAAGTTTGTACGGCTCTGTTCTTCTCCTTTTGGATACTTTCAAAAGGTGACGTGAGCGCTCACACTGCAAAAATCTATGACGGTGGTTTAGAGCCACTGTTAATAAAAATAAAAACAGTAGACATCAAGAATAAAGTCGTAATATTTTGAGAAAAAAGTTGTACTATTTCGAAAAAAAGTCATAATACTTCGAGAATAAAGTCTTAATATTTGGAGGATAAAGTGGGCTGTACTGTAACTATAGGGGGCTGCCATAACGCATTGGGGTCTGACTTATATACATGTGTAATTACATTCATTTCACAAAGAACCCTTTTTATTTTTCAGACTGCATTCATGTTTTGAAATTGTATCTGTTTGTTGCTGCACTATGAGCTGACCTAACAGGTGTTATCATTATAAACGTGGAGATTTCAGCCGATGGTTCGAGTCAGGTTTATATACGTTTGATTTTTTATGGCGTCAGGCTCACTGTTAGTCCAGCAGGTCCAGATGTGATCTTGAGACAAGATTGTTTAGGGGCAAACATAAAAAATGTGCTAAATCTGAGTGGAAGTTGGAGGTGCTAGTGCACTTGTGAAGCCTGTCATTAGTCCGTAGAAGTCTTGCAGTGCAGGACTAATTTCAGTGTTGTGCGCGGGAGTGGGCGAGTAACCAGCCCCCTGCAGGAGGGAACAGGACGAAGCATGCATGAAAAGAAACAAATGGCCTAAATGAAGTAGAACAATCACTAAATCATACATATATATATATATATATATATAATATATATTATATATAATATAGCTGTCAGGGAGAAAACTTTGTATCTCCATTTTTGTCATTTTTTCGTTTTTGACATAATTTGCAAATACCTGTTGTCCTTTACATTGTATGTAAGTTTCACGATAAATGGCCCAAAAGGACTTAGAAAAACGTCTGGTTCCATTGACTGTACTTCTGTAATCCATCTGTAACAGTGACTAAATCCTTAGTAGTTACATTGTTCTTGCATATGTTGTTCATATGTAATTACACAGTTATTAGAGACTCTATATAAAGCGGGACCCATGATACTCATATGTTTCATATCAAAATGCTCCGTTATCTTCATCACTCCTTTCCAAAACCTGTGGTAAAACAAGTCCAGCTCCAATGGGCCTTGACTCTCCTCTACTTTCTTCATCTGTTCATCCACTTTCTACTGTCTCTGTATGTTACACTGAATAAAACCTTTACCTTTCCCTGCTGTACTCCTTGC